CTAAGACGATATTGATTGTCATTTTCTGAGTCATTGAAAGCCGTTAGCCCGATCACATGTCTCCAATGTGCAGCAAACATGTGTTAAAAACGAGAAACAAGCTAAGTTTAATCTTCAATTCCAAATCGAATGGATTACCCAGGTTCATCAATCCGATACCGGATCTCATAGGATCTTGTAAGATCCGACCAGCCGACAAAATCCTACACTGTAAAAAAAATTCGTGGAATAATAAACCCTAGTACTTTAGGAAAATCTTCCTAAACCCTTAAAGGGTTTATGCTGGTGTATTAAACCCTTAAAGGGTTTTTGTGCGAAAGGGTTTCTGAGAAAAAGGGTATTTGAAAATAAAAAGGGTTTATGACTAGTGAAGAAGGGTTTATGATTAGTGAAGAAGGGTTTATTGTTCTACGCTTTCGTAAAAATGGTTTATTATTCTACGGCCCAGAGTTAATTGTTCTACCCTTTCATGAAAAGGGTTTATTATTCTATGGTCAAGGGTTTATTGTTCTACCTTTTCATGAAAAGGGTTTATTATTCTATGGTCAAGGGTTTATTGTTCTACCTTTTCATGAAAAGGGTTTATTATTCTACGATCAAGGGACTATTGTTCTGCCCTTTCATGAAAAGGGTATATTATTCTACGGCCAAGGGACTATTGTTTTACCTTTTCATGAAAAGGGTTTATCATTCTACGGCCAAGGGTTTATTCTTCTACCTTTTCATGAAAAGGGTTTATGATTCTACGGCCAAAGGTTTATTGTTCTACCTTTTCACGAAAAGGGTTTATTATTCTACGGTCATGAGTTTATTGTTCTATCTTCTCATGAAAAGGGTGTTTTATTTTATATTCGAGAATATATCAACATTCCTTTTGATTAAAAGTTTTTGTTCTATGTTCAAGGGGATATTAGTATGCTTTTTCATGAAAAGCTTCTTGTTCTATGATATAAAAAATAACTTTTCTACTTTTGGATGTTGACTATTCTTTGATTATTGTAAAATTTTGGCATTAGCATGACGCACGCGTACTGAGAAGTGCATCATAATGCACTTTACTAACTATTCTATTAACTTTGTTTCCGAACATCAGCCAAATTCTTGATATCAGCAATTTCGATTGGATAAAAAAAAGGATATGAATCGTCTTTTATAGCATTTGTGTTACTGATATTCTGATATTGAATTTATTGAGAAAAATTTTTAAAAATTATTTTACATAAAAAAATAACTCGGTTCGTATTTGGAGATCTTTTTAAAGTTTTATATTTTGCGACGATTTATTCTAAGGAATCAATTTAAATAATAACAAAAAAAGTTTCAAAAAAATTATTATTGTATGCATTAAGATAATTTTGATCGTTGCGCATTCTAAAAAATTATTTTCATACAAAAAAAAAGATTTTATCGTAATCTTAAATTAAAATTCAATTTTATGTAAGATGTTAATAGATAAATTAAATAAAGATGAAAAGTAATATTCTTAAAAAAGATAAATATTTTCAATTAATTTTTTTCTTGTATAAAAATGTTAAAGCGAATAAATATAAATGAATTTCAGCTTAAATTATTATAATATAAATACTTGTTACGAAACCTATTTTTTAACATTAAACTTAAAATTAAATTAAAATTATTCATTATTTATATTTGACTTGTATTAAATCAAAGTAAAGCAAACTTATATTTCTTTCGTTAAGATTTTTTCTCAAAAAAACTTGGTGAACGTAAAATTATTTTGTTCTAATTGGAATAAATATAAATTTATTTTAGTTTTCATGTACTACAAATTCAATGTTCTTCTTCAGAATAAGATTTACACGATATAAAATGATTTCGAAGTAAAACAAAATAGTTTTAACATTCATCAAGTGTTTTCGAAAAAAGTCTTAACAAAATAAATATAAATTTCTTTCACTTTAATTTAATACAAGTCAAATATATATAATTAATAATTTCATTTTTTTAATTGTCAGTCTAATGTTAAACAAAATATCACTTAATAAAAAAATGCCCAGTTTATAATAAATTAATTTATGTAGAATGATATGATAGTCTCAGCATATTTTCACACGAGTTGGCCAGAATAATCAATATATTGTGGATATATAGCACACAAGCATTTTTTGGTTTGCTAATCGTGAATACTTTTTTTTCTAGTCACCATCAAGTCTATATCCATCAATGGTGTTTACTGATAATACAATCACTGTGTTTACAGATTTTCTTTCAATTATTTCAACAACATCATCTGATGATGGATTAGCACTTGTACTAGCAATGTATGTCGTTTTCGAACTAAATTTTCTTAAAAATGGTCGAGCAATACTATTTTTATATGCAATCATGTTTGGTGATACAAGATATTTATCAAATAAAATGCGTAGTCTAATCAAGGAAAAGAATATTGAAATTTATACTGAACAAAATCGAAAAATCTGTGAAAGTACAAATTTGGTTTCAAATAGTCACTCAGCTGTTACTAATGATACTCAATCTTCATCACAAGCTAGTTCTAATTTATTATCTGCTCCACTTGATGATGTTTATCTATTACATAATAATAATTTAAACATCAGTACAACTATTACATCTACAGAGTAAGTATTATATTTGTACATGAATTTTAAAATGTTATAATTCTTTTATGCATAGACTTGATGATATGAATCGAAAATCTTCATCCAATGTTGATTGTCAAAAAAATCTGAATATTTTTCAACAAAAATCGTAAAGAAAAAAGCATTAACATGTGATAATGATGATGATTCATAAAATGGTATTAATTCTTTAGTTGATACAAATTTACATGTTGGTACTCGTCACAAGATTAAACGAAAACGTCTTTACTAATCTATACGTATTGTAATTAACAGTTAATGTTGTTTTTGTACTATTTAGTATTTTTAATACTACTTTTTTATAAGAAAACTCGAAACGTTATTAAGATGAACATAATGAATGATATATTGTTTATATATATGATGTCTTTCTAAGATATGAAAAAAAAAACATTGATGAAATATGAAACTATTCTTGATCGTCCAGTTTTTTTTCTTCTAAATCATGAAAAAAAAAGATTTCAAATTAGCTACTATACACAGACATTAATTAAATATAAACAAGCTCTTAAATCATTATATCAACGACAATATCATTTTATAAAAATTTTAACTCGATAGACATATTCATATTTTTCTTTAGAATTTCTTTGTTCTTAGTATTTTTTATAATATAAGATCAATTTCGTTGTATCATCTATATTTCAAGAACTTAAAGACTGTCATCGAAATAAATTAAAATGATTCCAACTGCAAAAAAGCACGTTTTCAATCTATCACTCGAATAGAATCTTTTCAGACATCTTCAGTATAAATCAAATCAACGCAATCATAGATCTTTCCTTTTCACCAATCAGAAGCATAGATGTCGCTCTATATTCGCGTCTCCTGATTAAATCAGCTCTCGTATTGACTTATAAGTTACTACAAACAAGCTCATAGACACATTGTCCTCTTATTATTGCAACGCTGAAGTTGGCTGAAAACCTAAAACGATTCCAAATAAAACTAATAATATCACTGCAAATGGAAAGAGCTTTTCCCTCATTCATTTTCATCAACAGCCAGAACACATTTAAAGTAAAGCTTCCTTCTACACATTGTCTTGCTGTTCATTTCCATTTCTCCATAATTCGTCACTTGAAATAGTAGTACCGTAATTTCAACATTATTATTATTTTTCCTATAGAGGAAACAAGATTCACTACTATACTGATAACAGAAAATTAATTTTCATATTTCTTTCACTTCCTTTCGATAAAATATGATTCTAATTTTCAAGCAACTAAAAAGTAACTTTCCACATTATCCTTTTTCTATTTTTAGACAGAACTAACTTGAATATCATTATATCAACTACAACTGATCCAAAAAATGTTTTCTCTTTTTCAGATACAATTGACTTCAATATGAAAAAGTAAGCAAAATTTAACCTAACATTTTTTTTATTTCTTTAATATAAGACGATTGAATCTTTTCTAAGTAAGTAAAAACTAGTTTTGTATATTATTATTTTGCTTTCTTTAGATCAAATGAACTTGAATAACATTAGATGAACAACAATTCATTGAGAAAAAAAATTTCCTTCTTCAGATACAATTAAATTCAATATGGAAAGGTAAGCAAAAATTAATCTAATATTTTTTTATTTCTTTAGATAAAAGACGATTGAATCTTTTCTAAGTAAGTAAAAACTAATTTTGTACATTATTTATTTTCTTTCTTTAGATAGAACGACTTTGAATATCATTAGATTAAGACCAATGGATTGAAAAAAAATCTTCTGCTCTTCGAATACAATTAACTTTAATATGAAGAGGTAAGCAAAAATTAACCTAATATTATTTTTTATTTCTTTAGATAAAAGACGATTGTATCTTTTCTAAGTAAGTAAAAACTAGTTTTGTATATTACTATTTTTCTTGGTTTAGATCAGATGAACTGGAATATCATTATATCAAGAATAATTGATTCAAAAAAACAATTTTTCTTCTTCACATACAATTAATTTCAATATGAAAAGGTAAGCAAAAATTAATCCTAATATTTTTTTAAAATTGTTTTGCAGTATTGGAAATTAACTTTGAACGAAAAATTCAGTTTTTCTTTGAAAAATTTTTATTGAACGTTACTATCAAGAGAAACGACGAATTCAAAATTGGATATGCAGTATTATGTGAATTTTGGTCCAGCTCAA